GGCCAACTGCCTCAGATATAATGAAACTTTGGCGCTATCATGTTTAGAAGTCATACGAGAGATTTTTCTTGATTAAAGAAGAACAGCATATTAGCTGGTAGCATCTGGCGTAGAACGAGGCATAAGTTAATTAACACATTCCGGCATTTGAATCGAATTTTAATGTTTATGCGTTAGAACGTAAGAAGTATCAGTTCATTAAACGTCGTTCATGATGAGCATGAAGTTACTTCAATGACAAAATTATACGACATGCCTTCAGCATTGGAGACGCTGAAAAACTTATGGCGCCGCGGACTACTTAAATGGCTGTCTAACAAATGAAGAAGTGCAAAATGGTATGAAGCGCGGTTCTTGAAGAGTCATCAGTGGAAGACTAAATCACATGGTGTTAAATTTATTTATCTCAGGGTGTGTATGGCTTACATAAAATGAAGCTGTTGGAACATAGCACAAAATATTACATTTTTAAGCAGAACTTTACACTGAAACAATTATTATTCACGTCTTATCACACATACTGCCATTGCCACTTTCTAGTTTCTACAATGAGGCATCCGACAGAATAAAATTGACTACTTGATTAGCTTGTGAGTGTCGCATACAAAATGTAATTCATTGGCTACATTGCAACTCATTATAATACTTTAAAAAGTTTGAATCATCAACGGTATGTAAATTGGTCACAGAATCTGCCACATAAATTCGACCAGAGCCCTTCGAATTTCGAAAAGTAAACGAACGAGTTTCAATTTTCGAATACTTTCAGAAAGTAGGTGAAACAGCCAAAATATACTCTACCGACGGGCAGAAGACTCTTGGGAGGCCAAGAATGACCTGGGGCAAGTGTCTAGAAAGACTCCTATCCAAACTCGGGTTATCTTCCGCAGAAGCTCAAACGTTGGCACAGGATCAAGAACGTTGCAGACCATACTCAAAAGGATAAACGGCTAGAGAATGACTGACTTACCGATTCTAAATACCTCAAGAGGTGGTAAATTTATTTATTTCAGGCATGTGTGTATTCGAGGCGAATATAGCCTTTGTTCCATGTCAAGAGAAACATCAGCTGAAAGATCGTTCGCTTTTTATATGGAACAGTACTTTGAAAAAAATGAGCTCGCGCTCCTCAATACAGTTATTTCAACACCGTATACTACCTTCGGATCAAGTAGACTCTATAATTCCATTTTTTGCATAACATTAATCTGTCAGTCAATTCTTTAGATTTTGAACCTTTTCGAACTCATAGCCATAAAACCAAAAGAGCTTCCATGTTAGAAGATTTCTTTTATTAAATAATTTGGCTTATCATAATAAGTCGGTCGGTCAGTGAGTCAAACAGTGAGTCAGCCAGTGAGTGAGTGAGTCAGTCAGTCGGTAACTCAGTCTGTCTGTCAGTCAGCCAGTTTCGATGACCGCTTATCCTTTCGGATCGCGGAGGCAGACGCGTTAGACAGTGTCTCCAACGTTCCCGATTCTGTGCCGGAGATTATGCTTCGGCAGAAAATAGCCCTAGTTTGGAGCAGAGTCGTTCCATACATGTGGCCCAGTTTATTCTTGACTATCCTTGTGATCTTCGACCGGTCAATTGCGTAATACCAGCTATTTCGCTCTCCCCTCTAGAAGAATTTGCAATATATGCCAAAACGATACAATTGTGACGTCTCAATCTGGAGAAACAGCGGCTGTACACAAAGATACTCTCGGACATTTAAACCCCGGACAATTTCGAGCCACGTAACGTGCCTCAGAAAACTCAGTTTAGTCGCTCGTACCGGGTATCAAAGTTTTTCAGACATGCTCCGCAGTAACACTGATGAAACCAAAATACAGCTACATGATCATAAATGAATGTTTCGATCTGGAGGCAAGATTCACATTTAATGTGAATGTATGTGCCAAATTTCAATAACCTTCTTAGACAACTGACCTGTCACTTATCACATAAAAGTTGAATGCCAGGATTTAATAATTAAACAGCTTAATAAATAGTTTAAATCATCATGTGTATCAGTCCAACTCTTTATTCAATTTAAGACCTACTAATAATATTAAAATGTTCAATTCTGTGATGAAAAGCCTAGTTTATCTGACACAAAAGCGACGAACGTCAAAATGCTGC